GGGCCCTGCCTCTTGCTCTCAGTCTCTACTTCCTGTTATGGTAACGAGAACTTCTTTTTCGTGCTCCGGCCCCTCCGCTCTGGTGTCAGCGTCCTGTCTCGGCCGGGCCTGCTCTCTGTGGTATGGTCCACGCCCCGCCCCCCTCTCCAGGTGTGCCCACTTCCTGTGTACCTGCTGCTCTCCCCAACTCCCCTTCTTAGGGAGGGGGACTCCATGCCCCAGTGAGGGTATTGGGGCATCCTAGGCCCATAGGTTGCTGTTTGCCCGGGGGTGGGGTGTGCCCTCCGACCGCCCCTGCTCACAGTGCCCCATCACTGCCTTAACGGGAGGTTCCCTCTATGGCGCAGGGTGGGGCCGGTATCTCTTCACACTGCCAGTGAGGTAAGTGCCAATGCAGCATGGTGGCTTTTCTGGGGTGGGCATCCTGTCCCCCCCCAGCGAGTCAGGACTCCTGGGTTCTATCCCCAGCTCTGAGGGGAGGCCACCCTCCCCATGTCTCTTGTGCCTTAACCCACTGGGGCTCAGTATTTAATCATGATCCCATTCAAACCCGCTCCCGCCTCAGTTGACCCTCTCCATCCCCCAGCTGACTGGCAGGAGGGGCGCCATTCCACATGGCCCACTGCCTGGCACCTTTGCCCTGCACCCCCCTGCCCATGCTTTCCCCCCACTCCCATCAGTGCCTGCTCTATAGCTCTCCTTGGCTCCTCTCCTCCATCACAGTCTCCATCAGCCCCCAGCCTTAGCACGGCCTTTGACACTGCCTGTGGCATACCAAGTGGGGGCCCTCACCCCCAGGCCTTGGCTGCCCCCTCTCTTCCCTGGCCCACCCCACCTCTTCATACACCACCCCCTGATCCCTGTAGATGGGGCGGGGGTGTCAACTGACCTAACCCCCCACGGCAAGCCGGAGAAGGGTCTCTGACCTCCTTGCCCCTCCACTTGCCCCCCTGCCAAGCTGGGTCTGACTGACTGAGGCATGAGCCAGATTTTAGCTCTCCCCATTAACCAGGCAGAGGATCAGGACGACCGGGTTCTTGCCCTAGGTCTTTGTTTTAATTCTTAACCTCTCAGCTGCAATATGGAGTGACCTTTCCCTGTTGCCTTGGTGACTGAATGTAACGTGGCCTGACTTGTATTTTGTAATAAAAATGATAAATCATGTTAAAAACGTCCCGTGGGTGGCAAAAAGTTTGATTCTCATGTGATCGGCGCAAGTGCCTGACGGTGTGCAGAGATTGTTCCCCTGCTGCCCTGCCCCAGAAGCGGCTGCATCTCAGGGCCCGGCGAGCCCTCCTGGCGCGACGTCACCCTGCGCCTATTCCCCAGCTGCCCCTCCCCAGAGGTGGAAGCATCTCCGTGCCTGGTGAGTACTCCGGGGTCACTGAAGTAACCTGAAACATCCACTCGACGTGCAGCGGCAGTCAAACAAGCGAAGAGAATGCTGGGAATCATTAAGAAAGGGATCGATAATAGGACAGAAAATGACCGGTTTCAGAGTAGCAGCCGTGTTCGTCTGTATTCGCAAAAAGTAAAGGAGGACTTGTGGCACCTTAGAGACTAACCAATTTATTTGAGCGTAAGCTTTCGTGAGCTACAGCTCACTTCATCGGATGCATACTGTGAGGGTGGGGAGAAAACCTGGATTTGTGCTGGAAATGGCCCACCTTGATGATCATACCCATTGTAAGGAGAGTGATCACTTTAGATAAGCTATTACCAGCGGGAGAGTGGGTTGGGGGGAGAGAAAACCTTTTGTAGTGATAAACACCCATTTTTTCATGGTTTGTGTGTATAAAAACATCTTCTGTATTTTCCACGGTATGCATCCGATGAAGCGAGCTGTAGCTCACGAAAGCTGACGCTCAAATAAATTGGTTAGTCTCTAAGGTGCCCCAAGGACAGAAAACATCATCTTGCCTCTGTATAAATCCGTGGTACGCCCACATCTTGAATGCTGCGTGCGGCTGTGGTTGCCCCATCTCAAAAAAGAGACATTGGAATTGGAAAAGGTTCGGAAAAAGGCAACAAAAAGGATTGGGGTATGGAACGACTTCCGTAGGAGGAGAGATTAATAAGACTGGGCCGTTTTAGCTTGGAAAAGAGACGGCTAAGGGGAGATATGATTGAGGTCTATAAAATCATAACTGGTGTGGAGAAAGTAGATAAAGGAAGTGTTGTTTACTCCTTCTCATAATTTCATTTGGTGACCCCTAGTTCTTATGTTAACAGGCAGCAGGTTTAAAACAAAAGGAAGTATTTCTTCACACAACGCACAGCAACCTGTGGAACTCCTTGCCGGAGGATGTTGTGAACTCCAAGACCATAACGGTTCAAAAAAGAACTAGATAAATTCATGGAGAATAGGTCCACCCATGGCTATTGGCAGGGATGGTGTCCCTAGCCTCTATTTGCCAGCAGCTGGGAATGGGCGACAGGGGATGGATCACCTGATGATTCCCTGTTCTGTTCATTCCCTCTGAGGCACCTGGCACTGGCCACTGTCGGAGGACAGGATCATGGGCTACATGGACCTTTGGGCTGAGCCAGTAGGGTCATTCTTATATTCTTAAAGTGCCTGCTGTAATACAGTGTCCACCAGGAGGGGGAGATGCTTCTCCATGCGTCTCCAGTCCCCCTGAGCGGCTCCTTTCACAACAGTCCCTTCTGGATGTGCAGTCGGCTGGCTCAGGGTAGGAGTCTAGGGCAGTGGTTCTCACAACACACATTTTTGGTGGCCTCAAAGTGCCGACACCAACGTTTGCTGGGGGCCGCTCTGACCCCCCCCTTTTTTGTGTATAATTGTTAATTAATTGTAGGAAAAACATAAGTGAGCACAGATACACGTCCGAATCATTGTCATTTATTTATGTAGGGTCTTTTTTGTAGACTCAATAATAAAAATAACGTACAGCTGTATTTTGGTGCCCTTGGCCCTTGCTGCCTCCCTCACGGATCGCCCTGGGCCTGATGCTTCCCCCCCACCCCCCGCACTGGCCGTGAGCTCCCTTCTGTGCCCTTGCACCCCAGGATCACCTTGACCAGGGCACCCAGTAAGGTTGGCTCTGCTGAAACCCAGAGCCCTATGGCTGGATCCGGGGGGAGGGGGCGAAACCCAGAGCCCCATAACTGGGGGGAGGCAGGGGCTGAAGCATGGAGCCCAAGGCCCAAGGAGGAGGGCTAAGACCACCCCTGGAACCGCGCAGCTGTGGGGGGTGGGGGGATTGATGCCCGCCGGTGGAGACTGGCTGGATCAGGAGAGGGGGGCTGCAGCCCTTGGGCGTGGCAGGGAGGGGGTGCTGCTTTGCCCCCCTCTCCCGTATCTGCCCAGGCATCTCTCGGGGCTGCAGCGCCGCCTGGCTCGGAGATCCAGCATCCCCCAGGAGAGTGGGAACGAATGGACCGAAAGCGGCGGGTCGGAACCGATCCTGATTGGTGGACAAAAGCGGGAGGGGAGGGGTATTCCGGCCACCGCCCCCTTTCGGGGAGCACGGGGGGCGGGGATGAAGGGAGCCGGGTAGACAGAGGGGAGCCAGTGGCCCCATCTCCGGGCTCCACCACGACGTCCTTGGGCCTTCGTTGTCTTGGTCTAGGAGCTGAGCTGGGATCAGGCCAGATGGAGGGACCCAGGCGATGTTGCCACCCCTGCTGGCTCCGGCTCAATCCCAAATCAGAGCCCTTGGCAGGGCGGGGTGGGGGGCAATGGGGGGCACTCAGAACCCTAGCCTAGGGGGAGGGAGAATGGGGGGTCATGCAGAGCCCCGGGCATGTGGGGGAACTGGGAGGGGTTGCAAGGAGGGGGCCCAGAGGGCGCTGGTGCAATGAGCTCCAATGCCAGCAGCCCCCAAGGCTGCGACCCCTAGTTTGATGCTTTACGAGGGCTAAGCCTGGGCGGGAGCTTCCCAGCCCCCCAGGGCGGCAGCGGTGAGCAGCGGCCCCAGGAGGCCAGGGGAGGGCGTTCCCCAGAGGCGGCAGCAGGGGGCGCCAGAGGCGGGCAAGTCCACCTATCACAGGGGTTCTCAAACCGGGGGTCGGGACCCCTCAGAGGGGCGTGAGGTTATTACAGGGGGGGGTCACGAGCTGTCAGCCTCCACCCCAAACCCCACTTCGCCTCCAGCCTTTATAATAGCGTTCAACCTAAAGAAAGTGTTTTTAATGTATGGGGGGGAGGGTCGCACTCAGAGGCTAGCTGTGTGAAAGGGGTCACCAGGACAAAAGTTTGAGAACCCCTGCCCTATAATAAGTGGAATTGGTCTTTTTTTTTTTTTTTTTTTTTAAAGGTTGCTTAAATTTTTTGAGAGCGAGGGCCTGTGGTGGTGGGCGGAGGGGTTCGGGGCTTGTTTTATTTGGAGGTAGCTTCTTTCGTTCGTGTACGAAGAGTCTTCGGCACAAAGCGTAGGGTGACCCGAGAGCAAATGCGAAAAATCGGGACGGAGCCGGGGGGTTCCTTTATAAGACAGAGCCCCGACTCTTGGGCCTGTCCCTATGAAAGCGGGACGTCTGCTCACCCTACCAAAGTCGCGCCATAAAACCGGTGGTCGGCGCGGTTTCGGTGATTCATGCCCGTCGTCAGAATTTGAGAAGCCCCCGCTCCCGCTCAGTGAAGAAAATCCCGCCCTCTCGCTGCATCCCGCGCCGGAAGATGCTTCAACGGTGTCACGCGGGAACGTCCCACCACGAGGCACCGGAGCCCGCGGCGGGTGGCGAGCGAGAGGGTGACCTCTTTCCTTAACAAGGGAAGTCCGTGAGCGCTTATTATTTTTAATGTGTAACTTCCTGTTGTAGGCAACAAAGAACTGGAACTACTGAAAAAAAGATAATGGAATTTGTATAACACCCCCCCCCGTCCCCCACCCCCCCCCACACAAAAACACTCTCCCTCTGAGTTGGGTTGGGCTTGTTTCAGGCCCTTTTTTTTTTCTCGTGAGACTTGGAGCTGGGACCCCTGGTTTCGGATCCCAGCTCTGGGCGGGGAGTGGGGGGCTGGGAGCCAGGACTCCTCAGTTCTCGCCTCTCACAGGCACGTATTCATGGCAGTTGTTGCCCCCCAGGTTGGGCCCGCACTCCAGGGTGTAGGAAAACTTGAAGTGGCCGTGTTCAAGGCTGCAGGTGAGCTTGACATTCTTGCCGACCTTGAGGTAGGTGTAGCACCTGCCCAGGAGGTCGTCCTCCAGTAGGTCCTCGTCCCACACCTCCATTTCCAGTTTGGGCAGCTCTGGCAGCGTCACTGGCCCGAAGTCCAGGTCTTCTCTCCAGATGGGGTGGTTATCTTCCTTAACTTGGCCCGTCTGCAGCTGCTGGCCTTGGAACGAGAACTTGACGTAGGCGTCGGTGTCGGTCACGGTGTCTCCCCACAGGTCTGTGCCCCACAGCACATGGACCTTCAGCCGGGCCGTGCCCCGCTGAAGTGAACAGCACATGGAGTTGGTGAGGGGGTTGCCGGAGCAGTAGCATTTGCAGGGGTCCGAGGCGTCGGCCTGGCCCCCTTTTGGGCAGCTACGAGGGCAACTTTTCTTGTGCCCCCGCTCAGCCACGTACTCCTTCACTGCCTGCCTCAGCGCCTCCCGCCTGGGGTCGCCCGGTCTCACCAGGGCGTGGATGGGCATCAGAGAGTAGGAGACCAGGTCGGGGCTGGCTCTGAGGCTCTCCATCCAGGTCGAGAAGGAGCTGGCATTTTGCTCAGTGGAGAAGAGCTGGTTGGAGTCGCTCTTGCCACCCGTCACCTGGATGCGCTTCTCCATGTAGGGCACCTGGGAGCTCCCCCAGCCCTGGTTGCTCTCGTTGCTGGACTGGGCGCTGGAGGAGAGCGGGCTCAAGCCCAGGTCTTGCAAGAACTGGGAGCCCAGGCGCGCCTTGATTTCGGTGGCTGTCAGCCCATCCAGCACTGCCCGGCAGGTCTGGACGGCCGTCAGCTGCCGCACCTGCCCCCCCAGGTCTGCCTGCCTCACATAGTGGGTACCATACTTGGCCAGGAAGGGCCAGTATATGGATGAGTTGTAGCCGGGTGGGAGACTTCTCAGGGTCCAGAAGAACTGGGGCATCAGTGGGGGGTCTTGAGCGAGACTCAGCCTGCCCAGAGGGGAAAGAGAGAGGAGTTAGGAGCCAACCAGAGACCCCCTGCATCTTCCCCCTGAACAAACTGGCCCCACTTCCCCAGTGCTCACTCCCTGGCTTCCCTGGCAGGTGGGGGGCAGTGGGAGACGCTCTCCTCTTGCAGTCAGTGCTACCCCATTACCCCACTGCAGCAGTAGGGGGCGCTGGGCTGCAGGGAGCAGGGCGGGGTGGGGGATTCTCACCTGTAATACACGCAGGGTATCTCTTGGCGCACGAACATGTACTTGTCCTGCAGCTCCTTCTGGTAAGCGTAGCTGGTGAGCTGGGATTTGGACCCCCCCAAGGCCAGGCCATGGGACTCCTCTCGCAGCTCCAGCTCTGACATCCAGTCATTGTTCACATCCAACGCCAGTGCCCGGCCCACTGCTGCGGCTGACTCTTCCACTGAGCTGCTGAGGTCCCGGTTGCACGAGATGTGGACCCTCCAGTCCACCACGGCCAGCGGCAGCCTCTGGTGCTGTCTCCCCTGCAGCCGGTTCTCGCACAGGGTGCAGGTGCCATTTGGGCGACGCCACAAGCTGGTGTCCACCACATTGGCCCCCGTCCACTCCAGCGTGGTCACGTCGATGCCCTCCCCCACCAAGCTGTGCGCGGGCACGAAGGTCATGGGCTCATCGCACTCCTCAGCTGTGCCCGTGTAGCAGTCGGGGGAGACTCCAGGGAGAAGGAAGAGGAGGAGCAAAGGGATGAAGGCACCGGATCTCGCCATGGCTGGTGCGATGGTGCCTGTCACCTGGGAGCGGCTTTTGGACTTTGAGCCTCCCTGGAGGGAGAAAAACAGAGAGAGGATTCATTAACGACAATCTAGTGGCAGGCAGTTCCACAGGCACAACACATCCTAGCAGCATCCCAGAAGCCTGCAAGCTGCTACGACCCTCCCTGAATCTGAAAGAAGAGCTCTCCACCAGCCTGTGCTATAGCCTGCCTACCCCATTGCCGGCCGATTCTGCTGGAGAGTTGCTGCTGGGTGTGAACAGTACAGGGACTAGGACACATACAATCTGGCAGTTCTGATTCTGTCCACTAGGGGGCAGTTGGTTTAGTTGTCTGTAGTAGGGGACCTGAAACACATGGGTGAATAGTTCTCATTCCATGTAATAGACAGCTGCGCAGATATACACCTGTGCCCACCCCTGCTTCCCACCCCACCCCCAAGATAAATCTCCCCTCATTGTGCCGGGAACTGAATCCCCCACGTGAGCTACAGGAAGTAGGGTGACTCTTGCTGAAATATGCACAGCCCCATTCCCTCCTGCAGGAAGAGAAACGCACCCACACGAGTGTCCTCAATTCCCTTCATGTCTTACCTCCTAAATCGCTGTATGTGCCAGGCTCCTTCACCTGGCACTGAGATGCAGCCAGCTCTGGGGCAGGGCAGCAGGGGAACAGCCACCCAGAGAGCTCTGGGGAGCATTGGTGTGGCTACTGGGGTATGGTGATGTCGCCACAGCTACCCCGATTGCTGCTTCCCAGCACCTCCCCCAGGCTCCCCTGCCCCATGGATTTCCTGTCTGCAGCAAAGCGCAGGGCTCCCGTGTGGGGATCACGGCAGCTGGGCTGGAGCAGTGGCATTTCCAGGGGCCACCCTGATGCAGATGTCAGCTGGATCATAGTGCAGGAAGCTGAGCTCTCCTGAGCTCTCTGGGTTTGTCAACTGGGAGGCAGAACAGGCAGAAAGAGGGAGCCCCGCCTACAGCAAAATCCCCCCCCCGAACGAATCCAGGAGGATCGGGGGAGAAAGGAAAGTGTGGGGGGACTGTCTGGGGGGAAGGGCCAGATCCTGACATCAATGATCCAATTGTAAATTTGGAGTGGGGTCAGTCAGGCTAGAGAGGGGAGCCAGGAAGCCAGGACTCCTGGATTCTATCCCTGGCTCAGGGAAGGGAGCGGGGTCTAGTGGTTAGAGCAGGGGGGCTGGGAGCCAGGACTCCTGGGTTCTCTCTCTCTCTGGGAGGGGAGTGGGTCTAGTGGTTAGATCGGGGGGGGGGGCACGGGCTGGGAGCCAGGACGCCTGGATTCTATCCCTGGCTCAGAGAGGGGAGTGGGATCTAGGGGTCAGAAGGGGGGTGGGGGACACAGGGCCAAGAGGGGTTAAACACTAGCAGACTAACTAGCCCATATTCAACCTTTAGAGACATATTAGGAGATAATTGTGTTTTGTGTGTGTTTCCATATATGCTGTTATAGGTTGACAATGTAACCAAACGGTTCCTGCCTGTCCTATATTCTGTAAATTCAGAGATCCAAAGGAGATGTTAACTGTAAATGTAGGAACATCGCTGTCTTCACCCTCTTTTAGGCATGCAGTTAATTACTTGTAAATGACGGGAGGTGGGCAGTTACATAATGTTAATCCATGCAGCTAATTACTGGTGGTCCTTTGGAAAGAGAAGGTTTTACTTCATAGATTCATAGATTCACAGATATTTAGGTCAGAAGGGACCATTATGATCATCTAGTCTGACCTCCTGCACAATGCAGGCCACAGAATTTCACCCACCCACTCCTACAAAAAAAACCTCACACCTATATCTGTGCTATTGAAGTCCGCAAATCATAGTTTAAAGTCTTCAAGGAGCAGAGAATCCTCCAGCAAGTGACTCGTGCCCCATGCCACAGAGGAAGGCCACAAACTATAAAAGAACTCTTGGGCCCTGATCCTGCCATCTCAGATCTGCTTAAGCTTCATGGGGGAAGTTTGAGTTGCAAGACTGAGGTCTCCAGCTCCCGTCTGGATCACGCTGATATTGGCCATTGGCTGTTTTGGGATTATAACCTGATGAACCGATTGGGAAAAGGACTCTTTGCCGTTCTGCAGCTCACCATCTTTACTATGAAACTGACCTAAGAACTCAATTGCTAGCTGTATGGATAATGATCTTTTAACCAATACTCTCTCTTTTCTTTTGTAATAACGTTTAGTTTAGTTGACAACAGTTGGTTGTAAGCGTGCATTTGGGTAGGAGCTGAAATAGTCACTGACCGGGTGGGGAATTTCGCCAGTATTTTTATATGATGAGTAAGATTTTCAGTAATCCTTATCATATTTGACTTGGCTGTCTGGACTAGAGCCCAAGGCTTGTTTTTTTTAAGGGCACTCTTTTGGCTTCTGAGTAAGCAGTCAGTTCTTGCGGAAGCTGTTTTGTTGCTGGCTTGGTGACTCTAAGTATTAGAAAAACCACCAGTTTTGGGGATCGTCTGCTCCATCCTTTGCAGTTTGCCCTGATTGAGCAATCTCGGGTTCTCCCCCCGCTGCCGTGAGACACCAGTCACAGGGCCTGGAAGCCAAGACTCTTGGGTTCTTCTGAAAGCTGAGGACTTGCTGGGGAGCCAGCGTTGGTGGGTGCTGGGTCCCCTCTGGAGAAGTGTGTTGCCTCCTGCCCCTCTCCGCTCTCAGGACAGGGTGTGTGGGGGGGGGGCGGGACACCGGGAAAGGAGAGAAGGGGGCAGGGCGAGTGGCAGGGTTTAGTCACGGGGTGGGTCTGAGCCCCTCCCTCGCCTCCTCTGGACAGGCCAAGATCTGTGGGCGACCTGAGCCCCCCTCTTAATTTGGTTTGGTGACCCCTAGATCTTGTGTGATGAGAAGTCGTAAACAACACTTCCTTATCTACTTTCTCTACACCCGTCATGATGGTGTAGATCTCAAGCACATCTCCCCTTAGCCATCTCTTTTCAAGCTGAAAAGTCCCAGTCTCGTTAATCTCTCCTCCTATGGAAGCCATTCCATACCCCTAATCCTTTTTGTTGCCCTTTTCCGAACCTTTTCCAATTCCAATATCTCTTTTTTGAGATGGGGCAACCACAGCTGCACGCAGTATTCAAGATGTGGGCGTACCATGGATTTATACAGAGGCAAGGTGATATTTTCTGTCCTGTTATCGATCCCTTTATTAATGATTCCTCGCATTCTCTTCACTTTTTTCACTGCCGCTGCACAGTGAGTGGATGATTTCAGGGAACTGTCCACAATGACTCCAAGATCTCTTTCGTGAGTGGTAACAGTGTCCATACCCTCTCCCTGCCGCCAGGCTTGTGCTGGGATCTGGGGGTCAGGAAGGAATTATTCATTGGGCAGAGTGAGGGGAGCTGGGGGGCAAGAAGGAGTGGGGGTGGAAATGGGAGAGGGGCACTTGGGGTAGAATGGGGGTCAAGGAGGTTATCAGGGGCTAGCGCGGTGGCTGAGGGACTTCCTTTACCCTCCTCAGCCCCTCTGCACCCGGACACCAGCTCGAGGAGTGGGGTCAGATCCTGGAGGAGGATCTCCCCGCTCGCCCCCTCAAGATCTCAGGGTTTCTCTTCTACATTTTCAAATGTTTTGCAATAACAAAACAGGACTTACCTTGTCTGTGCCAGAAGCTGGAGTACTCCCAGCTCCTAAAGAGGACTCTGGTCACCTGGGTTTGCCTTATGACATATAAATCCAGTCATAGGCGCTGGCTTCTAGTTTTCCCCGGGGGTGCTCCTCCCCCTTCCCTGAGGCCCCACCCCCTGCACCCCCTCTCCTTAGGCCCCTCTTTCCTGCCTCTTCCAGTGTGGGCAAAGGCATACCCTGACCTCACACCTCTCCCACCACCCCCCAGGTGAGCCCCCTGCCCCCCCCAGTGGCTGGGCAGACCCCCGATGCGCACCGTTCCTGGGGACTAAGTCCCCACCCTTCCCGTCTCTCCTCTGATGCCGGGACTAGGGGAAGTCCAATCCACTCCCCTGCCCACCCCGCTGATCCCAGGGCTGGGGGAAGCCCGCTGCCCACCCAGGCTGGCACAGAGCTCTGCAGACCCCAGCTGTCATGGTTTCCTAGGCCGTGTGGGGTCCAAGCACTGGGTGAGGAGGTGGGGCAGGGATGCTACAGTGACCACCAGCAGCCACCCCCTCCTTTGCCCTACTCCCCCAGTCCCTGCCCTCATATAATCTCTTCCCACCCCCACTCCACCCCCTCCCCAAGGCCTGCACACATGCCCCTCGCCACTCTCCACCCTCCACCAAGGCCCCTGCCCACCAGGGCAGCCTGCCTTACATAGAGGGTGCCCTACATGGCCTGGAAGGGCTGGTACACAGATGAGTGGTAGCTGGGTGGCAGGAGATGCAGGGTCTGGGTGAAGTGGGGTGGCAGCAGGGGGCTTTGGGGTCCCTTAACCTTCCCAAAGGGAAAAGAAAGAGGAATTAGGAGCCAAACAGAGACCTCCCCTGGATTCCCTGGGGCAGGGGCTCTGTGGTGGGTGCTCTCCCCTTGTGGTCCCTCCTGGCCCCATAGCCCTAGTGCAGCACTAGGGGGTGCTGTTCTCCAGAGAGAAGGGTTGGGGGATCGGTAGAGGATGATGTCCTGCAGGGGGCCAGCAGGGGGTGCTGCAGGGGAGTCTCACCTGTCATACACACAGGACACTTCGTGGTGCACGAATATGAACTTGGCCTGTGCTCCTTCAGGTAGGCGTAGCTGGTGAGCCAGGATCGGGAACGCCCAGGGCCAGGAATGAGAACGTATCCGACAGATCCAGCTCCAACTTCCAGCCATTGTTCACATCCGACCCCATTGCCTGGGCCGGGTCCATGGCTGAGTCTTCCACCGAGCTGCTGAGGTCCCGTTGCACCAGCTGTGGGCCCTCCAGTCCACCATGGCCAGCGGCAGCCTCTGCTGCTGGCCTCCCTGCGGCAGGTTCTGGCACAGGCTGCAGGGACTGTTCAGGCCGCCCCACAGGCTGGGGTCCACCCAGCATGGTCACGTCAATGGCCTCCCCCACCAGGCTGTACACAGGCAGAGAGGCCAGGTTCTCATTGCACACCTCAGCCTTGCTGGTGTAGCACTCGGGGAAGATCCCCCCGCTTCCCCCCCAGGAGAAGGAGGAGGAGGAGGAGAAGGCTTGGGGGCGGGTGATATCAGATGCCCAGCTGCAAAGCTCAGGGTCTCTGG